ACCCCAAATATGCATAACATGTACCTAGAAGATGGTGTTTCAATGCACCCTCTATGCGACGTAATGTAATGCCCCGAATACGGTGCAACAAAGCACCTCAAAGATAGTGCAACAATTTATTGCACCTCAAAGATAGTGCAACAACTCACCTCACATATGATGACATTCTCTAGAATTCTAGAGCTCTCTCTCATTGCATCTCTCTACTATGACCTACATGACCAATTACGACATACGTGATCTACAACTCATGCACTTGAGGCAAGTCTGACTGGCCACTTGGTATTATTAGGCTCAATCGATCACTCATTATTGGATTGTTCAATTGGACGAATGATACTGGTCAGCCCAACTGTATGCCTTTTGATTGACCAACTTTGTGGTGTTGTCGTGGGTTCGGTGGCTCACGTTAGGCAAGTTGGCCGACAGACACTAGTCGACACGACCAGACATATTGGTCTTTTTTTTCCTACAGAAAGCCGCATAGTTTAAGAGCCTTTGCGATCCCCTAGCGATTATCATGAACAAAACCTACCTTTTCTTTTCCAATGTAGAGTCCCAATACTCGGGGTCGTCATAACCCCACATTTACGTTGGCGACTTCATTCCCACGACGGAGGGGAGTGAAATCCTTCATTTGGGCGTAGAGAGCGGAATGTCCCCTGACTTTGACGTTCCATGCTCCATGAAGATATTCCCCATGGAATTTTTTTAAGTCGGGCAAATGGAGGCTACCATCGTCACTTTATAGCGACATTCACTTCACTCCGACGATAACCTTTATGCTAACTTTTGAGATTATCAGCGTGAGTCGAATTTGTAACCAATGACGATCAAATCTAATTTTCATATCCATGTTGTTTGCATTTGCAAAATTTATATGCATAAAATTATCGATTTTTTTTATGTGTTATGTAGGCTTGTCAGATCGGCCCCACCAACCCGACCTACGCAATTGACAATCTTACGTCTTCTCATTGGCGCCTGATCGGACCCATTGGTCAGTCGATGTGATCGATAATTTTTATTGATTCCTTTGATCGACAACACCGGCCCAATCAGATTGATCGATATTTTCCGTTGGCTTGCCCGATAGGCCCTACCGACCCAATCAGCATGATCAACACACCGGCACGATCAGATTGATTGATATCTTTCGTTGGCTTGTCCACTCGGCTTCACCAACCCGATCAGTTGGACCAACCGTTTCCATTAAATGTTGCATCATTGCATGTCTGTTTCATACTGTTTGTTGGAATACATTCACACCACACACCCAGTTGTGCAACCGTGAGCATATGCCCCCATATGCTCGTGGTGTGTTATTATGCCCCTCTTTGGCATGGCCTTTCATGCCCATCTCGTGACATCCCTTCGTCGCAGTGCATCACATTTTGTATGTATGCATGTACACATGTGCACTCTTGTGCGTTTGTTCGCATGCCATCTTACATATTCATGACTTGTATGCATGAAGTTATGTGTATTTTGGATTTGTGTCCTCATAAACTTATCTTGCACATTCACACATTATGTGATAGAACGGCTAACACATCAAGCCTACCCAACATATAATTCTCTTCAGATAGAATTACTTCACCTTCTCTTCTTACGACACCACATTATACTGTCGTAGGTTACCCTCGGGTCACTGCCTCCACGACATACCCACTATCTGGGTCACTGCCTCCATGACATACCCACCCTCAGAATCATTACCTCCTCGACATACCCACCATTCGGGTCACTACCTCATGGCACACCCACCCTCTAGGTTATTGCCTTCGCAACATATCCATCCTTTCGGGTCATTGCATTCATGGCACGCACACTCTATGGGTCAATGTCTACATGTCACACCCACCTTCTGGGTTACTGCCTCTTCGACACACCCACCCTTCGAATCACTGCCTTCATTCTTCAAACCAATCCAAACCCAAACTTTCAATTAATCAAGCTCATTCATAATAACTTAATCTCTTAATTCCACTTTGACTTCGATTCAAAGCTCTTCAGTCATTATCAAATCTAGGTATTCTAGGTAAATCATCGTTCCTAGGATAATTAAATTCCTCCTCCTTTGTCTTTTCATGAAATATCATAATTGGATTGTAAGTCTCAACTTTTAAGCTTAATTCTTACAATTCCAAACTTGGACCTTCCATTACCTTTAAAATTTTAACATTGAAATTTCAACTTTGAAAAGTCAGTAACATGGTTTAATATTTAAATCAAGAGTTTTCTGTAGAGTTCAAAACTTTAGTGATGTAATTAACTATGAGGGCTTGCCCTTATAGGAAAACTAATCCTATAAAAAAATAAACTCTATCTTATATCTGTAAGGAAGGGGAGAAAGCCGATTCATGTAGACCCGTAAGTCTTAAAAGATTTTCATCATATTGATTAGGTCGATTTATAAGGAAATATTTCTTCTACTTGAGTAAGTATATTTTTCTTTAAATATAGTATCTGATCATTTAGATATAAAATCTTTCATAATCTATGGTAGCCACATAAAAGAACAAAAATTTTTTCCACCAATACTCTTACCAAAATACACTCAAATTTGTCTTAAATTCTTCCCCTGCATTCTTGCAATGTCAAAGCCTTCTCTGTAATGCTCGAAACTCTATCTACACACTCTTGTCATATGTCGAATCAAAATTCTTAAGTAATTCTATCAGTTGAACCGTCAGCAAACTGCAAAAACCATCTTAAGTAAGTGGAGAATGATGGGGCACTAGTAAGGTGGGGTTAAGGCAATGCAACATATCTTGGCTCCAATTCATTATTCTAGGTTTTCATGTGTGACAACACTGATCAAGGTGGCATAGCGACGATGATCTAGGTAGCCCGAACGCGTTATGGTTCTTGGACTCTGTCATTATAGTGTCATGTTCTCTATATTTATGGATGGAATAACCTACTTCTGGCACTATAACGCTTGTATTTGGGCATTGGAGTGTTGGGTGCTTCCTCAGATTGTTAAAGTGATTGTCAACACTTAATCCAAATATTTCTTTCATTCTTTTATACCGCAAAAATATACAAAATATACCAAAAAAAATCATAAAAATGATATAAAATATATACTAAAGTCACTATAATACTACAACACAACTCATACACATAAGCTATATGATTAGATGGATCCGACCTCCTTCTGTAGAAATCTAGAAATGAAATCTTGAACTTTTTAGGTGCTTTAGTTTCTGCAATCTCTCTTGAGGATGCATCTCTAAGGACTTTTTCACTTCTTCTACTCGCTCTTCTTTTTGAGAACTTTAATATCTCTTTTTATGATTTGTGAAATATATTTGTTTCTTCCTCTTCTAACTTGGTGGCTAAATCTATTCTCAATCCTTCTCTCGATGACTCTAGCCTAGGTGTTTCCCACCTAGGCACTATCGACCCCGATGATCTCATGTGCATCATGGATGGGCTCGAGAGCGAGTTCTAGAGGTCTCTTACCTCAACCCTTGCACCATCACTCTTATCTGCTCTTTCAACTTATTGATATGTTTCATAATACATTCTCTAGTACAATACTTCATTCTTCTTTATTATTCCTCACATGGAAAGTCCCTTTGTTGAGTTAGGATATGAATTTCATGCTCGTCACACTTTTTAAATTGTTGAATCTTCTTAGGATGTAGGGTCTGACATTGTCTGCGTGCACATAAAATCGAAGAGAGTCCTTATTTTGAAAGGAGTATTGAAGAAAGAAAGATTGGGACGGAAGTTCCCTCTTCCCTCAATTCTTATTTCTTAGCCTTTAGTAAGAGATTGAAACAGGGAGGAGAAACTAAGTGAGAGAGAGAGAGAGAGAGAGAGAGAGAGAGAGAGAGAGAGAGAGAGAGAGAGAGAGAGAGAGAGAGAGAGAGAGAGAGAGAGAGAGAGAGAGAGAGAGATGAAGATGGAGAGGTATTTAAATGTCTCCCCTAAATTGCAATGCATTTGAATTTATATCTCTATTACCTAGTTCCCTCCTCTTTGCACCCCACTCCCCCAAATCCTCAAAAGAAGCCCTTCATGTCGGTGCTTTGTGAATTTTGAGGAGCAATTATAGAGGCCTCGATAGATCACTTTGCCAAGCAAGCTCGATATATCATTTTGACAAGAAAGCTTGACAGATCACTTCGGAAGGTAAGCTCGTTAGATCACTTCAGCAAGCGAGCTTCACAAGTGAAGGTGACAAAGTCTTTTCGTAAAAGAGAAGATTGGGCTATCTAGGCCTATACAATATGGTAAGACATGTTTTATCCCATGGGAGTCACTTATGAATACAAATAAAAAAAAAACAATAATAAAAAAAAGAAAGCAAATTATGGCCTTAGGCATTCCCTTTATTATTATTATTATTTTGGCTATTTACATACACACCATTCTTTCTTATGTATTTACACATCTAACACCTAAAATTTACTTTCACATTTATTTTGCTCATAAGTTTCTTATCACATAAAAAATATTACCTTTTTAATTTCTAAATAGCGAAACAGACTTTTTTTATAGGCTTTGTTGCATGTATGTAATAAATATACTTTAGGTGTCACATATGTAAATACATTGAAAACATGTGGTACGTGTAGATCTCTTTTTTTTTTTTTTTTTTTTTTTTTTTCCCGGATCAATTCAAATAATAAGAAAGAAAAAGAAAGCCGGAGCCCCCACGCGCTGACTCAAAATGGCTTTATTAAAAATTACTATTAAAATCAAAAATAATGTTATTCACACACACACACACACACACACACACACAC